GCTCTGCTTTTTTGGTAGCAACAAGACACCGTGATTCAACAAGGCTGTGAATTCACTCCTGCTTACTCCTGCCAGCTCCTGCTCTCTGCCTTTTGCATAAGCATACCAGGTCCTGGACCCTCTTGCTCGGTGATGGACATTTTGTGCTGTGGCTATTCATATCTGTGAGAACCGGGGTGGGCTGTGGGTGGCTCTGTCTAGCAGAGCCCTGAGGGGTTACCCTTTGCTCTGCTGAAGAAAGACAAAATTAATCATGCTCGTGTTTGCACCAGAATTTCAGTTGTCATCCCTTCTGCAGATGAGATATCCCAAGAGAGTTCTTATCAAGGCTACTGTGATTCCTCACTTCAAATGCTTGGTGTCAGTGGGAAGGAGCAGGTCTCCTTGAGATGAGTTCTAGAGTAATTGGCCTGAGAGCTGATGGTTTTTGCTGGGGTGTGAAGGACTGTGTGAATGCAGGGAGCTACAAACTGACACTGGGGACAGGGACATGCCTGGCTGTGAAATCCAGTGAGTACAACTGCTGCCCAGCTGGGGGTTTTCTTTGTGCCTTGTTTTCTCAGTCCCCCCTTCCCAACTCCGTGAGAACTTCTGTTTATTTGATCAGATCAGGCTGATTCCCAGCCCAGTGATCAGTGGGCTTTCTGGCATCTCTTCTTCTGGGTCTGTGGCTCTTCAGTCCACATGTTGCCTGGTTATCTGCAGGACTGACTTTGCTCGAGAGAAGCAGCATTTCTCACAAATGGGTTTTATACCCATAGGTCCAAAGGTGGTCCTGCCAAGTTGCAGTGGGAAGCACTGTCACCTTTGTGCTGCCCCTCCTAGCCCAAAGATGGCATTTTGTAAAGATCTGTCCCATGGTGCTAGCACTGGAGGCTGGGGAAAATTCACATGGGGGAGTGGAACCAAACTTCTCATTGCCCCAGGTGAGCTCTTTTCTGAGTCATGGTGGCCTCAGTAGAAATGACACTGTACTCTAGCTGCAAAAATAGCAGTGTAGTAGCTCTGTGAAGCAATTTGGGTTGGTTTTAGTCGTCTCTGCACAGAAGTGTTAGACTAACCAGTGTGATCCAGAAAGGCATCCATCCTGGAGAAAGGGAGCAAGGGAACAGTGAACACAAGTAAATGAATTGCAAGAATGTGAAATAATTAAATGGTCTTTCCTGAGTGGTGCAGGTTTGGATGTGTCAAGGATGGAGGAGGAAAGGGATTTGCCTTGTGGCTCTTCCTTGTGGTATTAAGGAACCTATAGTGTTTGGAGCAAGAGACATGGAGGTGAGACGTAATGTGTGTGTGGAGAAATTGAAGGATTTCCTTGAGAACAGTTTATTTAGAGGGATTGAGGCAGGTAGGAGGGTACAAAGGTTTTTGATATGGGAAACTACACAGTGTCTACGAATAACCTACTTACACTTGGATATGGAACCAGGCTCAGAGTAAAACCAAGTAAGATTTCTGACATTCTGACACATTCAGTTGCTTGGTGGAAAAATCCAGTTCACCCAAAACCAAGTTAAACTTTTGCTAGGAGAGTAATGACATGCAATTCAGAAGGAGACTATTTTCAAAAAGTAGAAAGAGAGATCTCTTGGTTATTAGAGTATTTGCTGAATATTGTAGAACAGGAGACCAGGTCTGTGGTCTCTTTCCTTCATTGGGAATAAAATTAAGAAAAAAATTGGTCAGTAACTATAAGGGGGCATTTCCCCTAAGTAAAATTTTCACTACTTCATTAATTAAATTTCAATTAAATTTTCAGCCACAATTCTAGATTCTTTTATAGATTTTAACTTCTAAAAAGAAATAGCAGTTAAGAAAAGTAAAGCATGCTTGGAAGGCTGCCAAAAGGAATTTTTTTTTTTTTTCCTGTTTGGAAGATGGTGAATGGAATTGTGACTACATCACCTGTAGCGTAGATGTTTTCTCTGCTTTCTCAGACATTAAATCCCATTTTCTCTTTGGAACTGAAAGCAAACTGAATTGCAGTTTAGGCTTTGCATAAAGAATGACAGAGAGGTGTCACTGGTACTTGGATTTTGTATGCTTATTAACTAATGAATTAACTACAATCTCATTCTTTTCAGGGTCAGGGGTCTTTAATGGATTGAATTTAAGGAAGGATGTGAGATGTCAATGCAGTGTGCCCTGATCTCTGGTTTTGTGTGAATGTATTTTTGCAGTTATATATGACTTGGTATGTAGGGCTTCCAACATGTTAAGCCAGTTTTTATCATGCAAAACTAGCCAGCTGTGAAAATTGCAAGGATGTAGTTGGACACTCTTGGCTAAATTATACAAGTTTGACTCCAACTGGTTTCAGTTTGTTGTTTGGTTGTTCGGGGCAAGGAGGAGGGGTTGGTGGAGTTTTTGTTATTGTTGTTTCTTTTTTTTTTTTATTAGCTCAGATGCAAACTTCTGTGAATGCATGGCCTGATTTCAGGTTCTGTTATTTGATTTTTCTGCATTATTCTTGTCAGCTCTTCTCATATTATTTGGGGTCTTCTGCTATCTAGGGCAACTCAGTTTTCTGTGGCTCTGGAAAATGGAAGAATTAATTATTCATTGCACTTACAGAGTGTGTACTTGTTTGTGTGCCACTGTTTAAACATCATTGCTGAATCTGTGGTGCTGTGGAAGACCTTGTTCTGGAGAAGCTGGAAGGGAGACTTCTGTTGTGAGCTTAACCACTGTGCAGACTTTGGGACATGATACAATCTCATATTTGGTAGTTGCACACCTCCTCCACAGTCTGGTGACTCAGCAGCAGTGGTCAGAAAGCTTCTAAACACTATCTGAAAAGTTGTCTATGATTGAGATGCTGCTGTTGTGTGGAGGCAGAGGAAAGAATAAACAGATTACTAATTAGGTAGTGGATAGTATCTAGACTAGTGAGTGTCAGGAATGATCAAGCAGGCAGAGGAATGTGGTTCAAGGACATGTTTATTCCACTACATGTGCCAAGGAGGTGGCTCATAACATTGGTTATATTATTTCAGTAAGCTCTTGCATTGCCATGTTCTCAGGTGTCAATTCAGCACATGTGCATACCAAGGCACCTTTTTGCAAAGCATAATGTCACAGTGCAATAATGTGAATTATGGCAAACTGATATTTGGAGCTGGAACCAAACTCACGGTTTTTCCAGGTATGTCTGAGTTCTCAGGTGTCATTCCTCTTGGAAGCACTTTTTTCACTTTGCAGGTTAGTTTGCCTATGTCATTACTCCCCAATATATTAGGACTATAAATTTTTGACGAGTAGATGAGCAAGTGATTTTCATGGCTGCATGTATATTTACCCCTCCGTATTTCTGATGATGAACTGGCCAAAGAAGGAGTTTTCCATATGCAAGAGGATTTTTCTTGGAAAGCCATCAGAAAGTGGGGTCCTAAATAAAAAATCCTCATTTAGAAGAGAAGCAAAGGGAAATGGTGAAAGCCAGCATGAGCCAACAAAATGCAGAGCAATGAGACTAGTCTCATAAAGCTGTAGCAGGCAAAAAGGATGTTTCTAGTATGTGAATGCTAATACTTTAACAAAACTTCCTAACAAAAATTCCTAATTTTATGTGGGTGCAAAATAACCATATATTGGGTAATTGCTTTGGAGAGACTCAATAAAGCTGTAGTGATGATAGGGGGTGGGTGTCTGTCACATTGTGAAGCATATATAAATACTGGAAGCTCAGAAAGCAAGATTATCCTTGAGAATTATACCAAGTTTGCAATCACAGCCAACTACTGTTGAGTGCTGTGAAATTACCATGGCCTTCAACTTCCACATGAAGCTTGGAGCATACTAGGAGTGAAACTGTTGGAGAACAGTGCGACCAGTCTCAAAAGCTAGGGATAGACAAAGGGGAAAGAGGTCAAGAAATAAAGTTAACTACTGAATGACTTTTATGGAAAGATGGAAAGGTGACCTTGATCACAAAATATTTTTCTCTGAACAAAATAGCATGATAAAATAGTGCTTTGACAGTTGCTGCCACAAGACAGCAACCCAAATGTCTGAAAAAAAAATTTTCCCTCAACTCACATCTCTTCTCTAGTCTCTTTGGAAAAGTGAAAAAATTTAAGGCAGACCCTGAGATACCAATAGTTTTTTAGTAAATGTGTCAATTTTTCCAAATTTCTCAATAATACTTGTAGGAACATTTAATATCTCAATGCTGTGGTTTTACTCTTGTAAAAAGTAGTATTACCATTTCTTAAAATAGTGATGATTGTTAAGATAATTTCAAAATAATTTTGTTCTGAAATTTAAAAAACACAGCAATGAAAAGCTCTGAGGTAATTGGTCGTATTACAATAACCCTCCTGACCTTCTGAGAAATATAAGAATCTCAAATTCATATACAGCAGTGTAAAGAGCTATAAATCTGGGCTCTGTCTGAGTTCATTTTAATATGTTGTCTGTATGCATCTGCTCCAGAACTTGCTCTGATCACACTGTAGAACCTAACACCTTTTCAAATATATACTGAAACTTTAGAGTGTAATGGCAGAATAAGCAATGGTTTCCTTGCCACAAAGAAATAGCATTCCAAAAAGTGTTCTTTCTACTTAAAAAATAAATGTCAAATGTGCTCTGGAATCACCCTTGACTAATACAGATGGCAAATCCAAGGGAATGGGATATTGAAGTTTATACTACACCTTTGATCACTAGGTCAGCTGTGAAGTAACAGCAAATAAGCTGATTTTTGAGAGAGAAATATGCAGAGAGACTAGCAGGCCAAATAAACAAGAAATGAGATTAAGAATAGAACTTGTGATGCGGATGACTTTCTGGAAGCAATGGGATAAATATGATAGAGGGAAATATTAAGAAACGTGTTTGGGAATTGGAAAGATGCAAAACACCAAATGGAAAGAAAATTAGATGGTGATCTGAGATATAGATCTGATAATGAGATGATCATAGAGATAAATAGGATTTATTTTGATGGAGTATTTAACTGTTGAAGGTTCCATTCAAAACCACTCTGGATATTGTAGAAGCCTGCACTATTGGGTGACTATGGAAATAGTTACAAACTCACATTTGGATATGGGACAAGACTCCTGGTTTCCCCAGGTACATTTACCTTGATTTCTTTGCCTAATTTGCATGATTGTTGTGGATACACAAGATCTGAGAAATGGCATCTGTCAAAGATATAGTAGCTTGGGATCTCATCTTGACTAGTAGGATTTATTCCAGGGCAGCTGTGCAAGCAGTCTTCCTGGAGGGAGCTGCACACAGACGTGTGCTTTCAGTGCTTTTCCAACAATTGCATTCCTGTGATAACACAAAGTCTGGTTTTGCTCAAGTAAGTCATGTGGATTTTTTTTCTCCTAAGGGTAAAGCATGCCATTTCCGCTGACCTTAACCAAAGTCATGGATTATATGTCAGATGAAAATGCATTGGATTGTAATGGTTGGACTCAATATTAAAGGTCTTTTCCAACCAGAAGAATACTGTGATTCTGCAAATCTGTGATTCTGTATTGAAACAAAAGAATGGCTATATTTAGAAAGTATCCACTTATGGCGATTACCATAATTTTATTTCTGCTTGTAGCAGAATCCCACCAAGGAACAGTATACTCTTAACATTTTTACTATTAACAATGGAATGGGAATTGGACTGCCTTTAGTTTGTTTGTCTGATGTACAGATACTGTATTATCCACAAATATTGCAAGTGGATTCTATTTGTGACTAGAACTTGAATCACGATTTGCTGAGCTGTCACAGCTGAAAGGCCATACTTAATGCTTACTCCCTCCTGCCACCGTGTACCTAAGTAAGTGAGGATCCTGAAGTAATAGAATTAGAAGGCTCAGATTGTCCTTGCAGCTCCCTGTGAAACTCCAAGATCTAGACAGGATTAAAATGTGGTACTGAAACCTTTAAGGAGGTAACTATAAACAAGGTCAAAGGGGTTCTTGTAAATGTTTTCTGGGTAGTGTGAATTATGGGGATGGAGGAGGATAGAGGCTGGTGTTAGGAAGAGGAACCTTGCTGGTGGTCAAGTCAGGTGGGTAGTAAATGGTGAAACATTCAGGAGAAAACTTGGACAGAAAGGCAGTGATCCTCAGTCCACACATTGAACAAGACTGGTAGGTGATGTTACAGGTGGCAAAACACAGATTATTCCTAGTATTGCCTCAAAAGGCAAAATACACAATTGTAAAAAGTGAATAAATGTTGTTGTTATTGTTGTTATTATTATTATTTCCCATTTCTTATGTTGATAATTTTCTAGTAGATCTATTTGGTACTTTGAGGGTGACTTAAATCAATGTGTTTCATCATTGTTGCCTTAAGTTCTTCCCTGCTCTGGAATGTCTGTTAACCTGGTTTTCAGTTTGAGTTGGGAAAAAACTAAAACATTTTTATAGAGGTTGACACCAGTGTGCCAATCAGGGATATGTGAAACTCATATTTGCAACTGGGACTCAACTGCTTGTTACCCCGAGTAAGTTTGAGCTTTCTGTTCCATCTTAATACCAGGACTGCTAAATAATTTTTTGTTGGGTAGATGGACTAGGGATATTCATGGAAACATGTTCCCACTTCTTTTCAGTATCCCTTAATGAAAATTTGTTGGGAAAGAGATGCTGTCTTGAAATCCAGGGAGTGTTTGGCTATGGTGCAGCAGTGACCCACTGCAGAGAAGAACAGCTAAAGAAGACAGTGATGACCACACAGGTTTAATAGCCATGGTGCAATAACACACAGAGTGCTACAAGCAGTTAACACACAGCTGAATGCTACATAAAAGGTTTAGGAGTTGTACGGAGTTTATAGCTATTAAAGTTTTCAGACTTGATTTTTACATTTTTAAAAAGCTAATTATACAATTTCTGGAGATTGTTCTGACTAACGGCTTAGAAATTGGATTTTCTAGCTCTTAGTCTAAGAGAATGTGTAATGACATTTTGGGGTTATAAAGTCCCCTCCCATATCTGTAAAAACTGGTGTTACGGTGTGAGCAGTCAAGAACTAGAAAAATTGTATTTGGAAGGGAAACTAAACTTGTTATGATGCTCTTCCCTTTCTTCAGTTATACTTCTAAATGCCCTAGAAACCTGAAAAGATGGGATGAAATTTCAAATATCTTCATGTCATCTCCTAGTAGACACTTTTTCCACATACTTAAAATGGGGTACTATTGGAATATGCAGCAGGTAGGCAGAAATTTATTGCAGAGGCTTCTTGTTGAGTAGGAAACTGAAAGATACAATAAATTCATGTTTGAAAAAGGAGCTAGATTTAAAGTCAGTCCTGGTGAGTAAGATTTGGAGGACAGGCTATCAAGGTAGGAAGATGGGAGCAGTGACCACTGGTTGGTGTTTCTGAAAAGGTCTAACTTTATGAACTGCAGATGAAAAGTGGAAGGATGATTGAAGACTGAAACAAAATGAACCCAGGATTATTTCTCAACAGTGTGCTTTTGAAGATGAGACAAGGAGACTGGAAATAGGAGGAAATGAGACAGCATCATCAATCTTTTAACTTTCACCTATCATTAACATCAAGTTATGAGTCCCGTCAGTCAGTAATAGTGTTTTTGCAGAATTATAAATAGGCAAATATTAGCCCAGGCACAGCTAACTTATTTTACAAACACCATATAGTGCACTTTTTACTTACATTGAAGGGGAAAAAATTCAGAGTTGTCTCTGGATTAATTTTTAACTCACAATTTCATATTACATTGGGAAGAAATTTCCCAGGTTACTATGCTATGGTATTTGCAATGATTCAAAATGAGGTGTGTGGGAAACTGGAGCTAGGAGAGTAATTTTTGGAAATGCTACTTATGATCTCAGATAAGTTATCTAATTATAAGTACCCATGAAATAGATCTATCAGGAAAGGATATGATTTTGGTGTGAAATAGACATCTACATCTGAGGTAAATCCACAAATGTATGATCAAAAGTTCTTCTAGTATTTTTATATCAACATAGAAATTATCATACTCCTTCTCTTTTTAGAAAGGGAATTTAGAAAGGGAATTTCAAATATTCATTTGAATATTTTTGGAGTTTTTCTTACTCATTAAACAAATAGGGTTTTCTTGGCTGGCATCAGATGATTAGCTAATCTCTAATTCAGAAAGTTTTTTTCTTGGAGTTGAAATTATTTGAATAGACATTTAGACTAGATGATCTTGAAAGGTCCTTTCCAATTCAAACCATTCTATGATTCTATGACTTTTTTTCTAGAAAATACTTCCCTGGCATATAAAATTGGAAACTGGCAATTAAAACCTCTGATTTTGGAAGAAAAAGCATGCAAAAGTATTTTGTGAAAATGACAGACTTTCATGAACAGCCGGTTCAAGTCTTTTTTTTCCCAGACAATTGTTAAACAGGCATTAAGCCAACTCATTCACTTGTGAGCTCTAAAGACTGGATTAGATAAGCAAAATTTCTTCTTGAGATCTCCAGAAATCTTCCTCTAACACTGGTGAAAGGAACAGCACAGAAGGTCATAGTAAATCTCTCCTGCAGTTTAGGTGATGGATGAATAAACTGTTATGTGAACACAATAAGGGTATTGCTTCCCAATATGAAAGTTAAGGAAACTCCATCTCAACTTTTCCTGAAGGTCAATACATGCTATAAGCTCAGATGTATCCTGCTTTGGTATTAGAGAATTATTTGGTTATTTGAACAATTGATTTCTTCTGACATAGTGGGTATCTTACTCTATTAATTTATCGTTAGTTTTGGCTCAGCTAGAAATCTTCCTCTTTGAAGGTTTTTTTTAAGAAAGATCTTGGGTGATTTGCATGGTTTGACTTCCCCAAGTGTAGGTACAGAGGCAATTACAAACACATTTTTAGGATGAAGACCAGAATTATGCCTGCACACTGTAAGTGAAGCAGCATATTCATATTTGCAAACACTGAATCTCTTCACAGAGTCATTGTACTTTGGATTACTTGGCTGATGCTGGATTAAGACCTGTTTTTTTTTGAGTGCCTTCAGACACAAGCATTGGAAGTCTAGAGTAGGGTTCAAGTATTAAATGTGGACATTTAACCTTGCTGTAGACATCCTATCATCCATGCAGGGCTAGCAGATATCACAAAGGACCTCTGGTAGACTTTATGTAACCTCTGTTGGAGGACAGCCAGCAAACATCACTAAAGTGCTTGTTAAGTCATTACTCAAGATTACTCATTGCTCAAGATTAGCCTGTGTTAGTGCGTGAGGGGGTATATATTTTCTCTGTGCTGAGGAATAGGTCCAGGTTGACTGTAGCTGTGGAATATCATGTCTCAGCCTGAGAAATGATAAGAGGATCAAAGAATGCTATCACACCAGTTCCAGTCTGGCCAGAGATGACCAGAGTTTTCTTTGTAGGGAGTGAAGAATGAGATAAATCTCTGTATAATACAAGCTGTGTGTTAAAACAGTTCAAGATTTCTACTTTAGCTTGTTTGGAAAAAAAATGCTTAGGTCTCAGTCTGATGTTGGAACAGGCTTCTGCTACTCTCTCTCTGAAATCAGCCTCTGGAATTGGTTTTCTCTGTAGGCTGGTCAGGTGTCACAGCTTGACTTAGGATGGTCAATTAAACCAGCAACAATAATGCTCACGATCCCCTTCTGCCCAGGTAGGGAAGGGAGACATAATGAAGGAGACTTCCCAGATTGAAAACTAAATTAGACAGCTTTAATTAAATACTAATGATAAAAGAAAATGATTCCTCAAATGTGTTGAGGAATGTGAAAAACCCTATTCCCTTCCCCCACGCACAGCAGCTCCCCCAGCATCTGAGCTGTGAGCAGTTCCAAAATGTCGCAGAGCTGCCAGAAGGAGTGGCAGAGCAGCCAGGAGCTGAGGGGAGAGTGATGAGGGTCAGGGATGCACGAGCCTGGAGATCAACGGGGATGGACAGATAGAGTCCTCCCTGGATGCCAGCCATGGATGGAAGAGAAGGAAAGAAGAAGTTATTCCCCTGTCTTTTATATCCATGTACAATATGTATCCTGGTTAATCTTTCTTTTATATGAGGATCTTCCATCAAGCTTTTTATTTGCTCCCACCTTCCTCTCCCTAACAAACATTCACTAAAATCTATTTCCAAAACAATAACTGGGAGTATAAGAGGTGGGCAGTGGGACTGGGGAAGTCAGAACCTACATTAGAACATATTCTACATAGTTGGGAAAGAGACAGTCCCATCAGGTTTTCTCAAAGCTAGGGAAAAACTAGGATAAAAGGGCCACTGAATGAGTCATTAGGCTTTGTGGATTAGTTTTTTTTCTGAGATCACACTAATAAAGAAGTATGGCTGTTTTTCTAAGGTGCAAACAACTGGCAGTTGAACAGATGAAAAACGTTTATCTCAGTGATAGAACTAGGGCCTGCGCTTGAATAAGATTTTGAGATTGTTTCTAAAAATCAAGTTTTAGTCCTAACTGCCCCCATGTGAAGAAATCAAAACTAAAATTGGGAGCTAAGCTGTCCTTAGTATTTCTACAATATTTAACAGTGTGATGTATGAACAGGAACGAAATTAATATGAATCTAAACTCTCAACCCTACACAATAACACTTTGTCAGTTTACAAGTGTGAACTGAAGCTCCAGTTCAAACCTGTGGTTGTCAAGTTCAATGGAAAATGCAGCCGGAGGTTTGCTGAGCTCCAAATCCTATGTTGCCTACATTGTGTCTTTTATGATATTTCACCTGTTCATCACTAGAGTACTTCTATGCCCAAAAATATTTTACTATTACACATGAACAAATATTTAGGAAAGTACCTTCTTAAAGAATCAGACTTCAAGAGCTGGGTGAGATGAAATGTGTGCTCAGACTACAAGTTTACAAAGCTAAATGTGAAAAAAAGTGTTTAACCACAGGTAACATTTTGATATGTGTGGAAAATCCTACTCTAACTAACTTGCTAGCAGAATTTGAAGCAAGAAAACTGAAATAAACTCCAGGTGTCTTAATCTGCAGCCTTTAGCTCCCCAAGTGTCTCTTCTAGGTAAAATTTAAGAAAAAAATCTTGCACTGCCCTGTCTGTGAACATAATGAACATAGTGAAACATTTGTTTCATCTTTCACTAAATATAACAATTCGACTTTGCAGTGCCTTTCGTAGCTTTTTCCCATAGGAACACAATTAGATGGGTGGTAAATGTGGACACACTTCAGACTAGGTACTTTTATCCACTGTCCCACAGGACAGGTGGAGGAAGCGGGATTTTGAATATCTGTGGTGGTTTTGGCTAAAGTTTTGCAGAACAGGCAGAATGCCCCTGGGCTGCTCAGTTCTCTCCAGACACATTATTCAGTAGCAGTGAAGCACAGAGTGCTCACTCCTCATGTTACACACATTCCTGAATGCTTTCTGGTCAAGATCCAAAAGGAGGCCCAGACTGCAGGGTAGAGCTGAATGGGTTGTTACAGAGACAAATGACTAGGTTAGATGTGGACATCTAGGATGTGGGTGAGCATGTGAGTATTGTTTGAGATGCTCTGGGGATCCTGCCTGACCACTCTCTGTGTCTGTCAACATACATCTCATGTAGCTCTATTGTGGATGTCTTGACTCTCTAAAGATGTCCTAGCACATGATTCACACTGGAATAATGGAAAAACCTCCATACCTAAATGTCTGTATGTTAAGATTGAAGGAACTGTGACAGTGTGCTTTCATCTAATGTCTCTTCTCCTTTTTCAGATATTACTCCATCTCCTTCAGTCTACAGGCTGACCTCTAAAGATGATGAGGATTTGGAAATGTGCCTTATCACAGATTACTCCCCTGAAAGCCTTACTCTTAACTCAGCTGATAAGCAGACAAGTGCTATTGTGGAGGTGGCAACATCTGAGAACAAACAGGAAGCAAGCTACCTGTCAACCTACTGGGCCAAGAAAGATGAAATGCAGTGTGGTGCAAATCATGAGGGCTTTGGAGAACTAGAGGGCGAGGACCCTGAAAGTGGTAATGGCACTGTTGGATGTGTGTACAGCGCGAGAGGTACTCCAGTCTCTGCTATTAGTAAGAGCAGGACTTGTTCACACCTCCCAGCCCTACAAGCAATGCTGAATTAGGCTCCTACACTCCAGAGGAGCATTGTCTCTTTGCCTCTTTTCCCTTGCCTGCCTCCTTGGTGAAAGCAAGATTAAGGGTACCAGCAGACTGGTACAGTCACAGCAGAGAGATCTTAAAATCTCTCTATATAGCTTGAAATTTCTTTGTTGGATGGGATGCTGAAGTTTTCCTACATCATACTTTATTCTTGCCCTGAAAATAGCAGAAAAGAGTGTTTATGGGAGGGTTTACTGGCCAAAAACTCTAATCCAGCCTTTCTAAATAGAGATATCTTTAAGAACTTCCAGAATAAGTTATTAATTAAATTATTTGTTACTATCTGCAGGTACTAGCAGTGTATGTGTTACAGGGGTGTCTCTACACTTCAGGACAGGTATGTACATCTCACAAGTAAAGCTTGGCTTATCAAGGGTTTGCTAATGTTGCCTGTATGCAGAATTCCTGTTGGAGCAAAAGCTCAGATTGGAACTCTCCTAAAAGGTCACACAGGCTGGAAATCATTGGGTTAATGTAGCCTTCCAGATCTGAGCTGCTTATTTTATGTGAACAGTGTAGCCAGTGCCCACATACTCTTGCTATGGCTAGCCAACCACTCCCTATCAAAGAATTATTTAAGGCACTGATATGAGTCAGCCTTACTGTAGGTCTGTCTGCATTTCAGACTTCAAAAAAACTGTTTATTCTGGGGTGCACAAACAACTAATTAAGCAGGTGATTTCTGCAGTGTGTGCTCAGAAGCCCATTTGCACTAAAGATACAGTGCCTCTGAGCACACTTTGCTTCAGCTCGCAGATGTGGGAGTGAGTGCTGGACTCCAAGCAATTGCTGTTCCTGCCAGTTCAAAGGAGCTGAGCCTGCCTCTGCACTTGCCCTGTTTGCTGAATAGCTGTACTTTTGCAAACTGCAGCTGAAACAAAAACCAACAGTTAACTGAAGGTTTCCAAAATACCACTTCAGAAAAATACTCATCAGTAAGCTTGGCTGGTCTGATCACTCTTTTCAGAAAGAGGTTTTCAAAGATAAGCACAAAATTACTTTTTGATTAAAGCTCCCTGCTTCCCTAATATATTTTCAAATGAAAATGGCTTTGTAACTTAAGATTAATAGAAAATCCAAATAGGTTTGTTTTTTTTTTTGTTCCTTTAATAAATTTTAACTCATTTTCTTCATGTTCATTTAAAAATATTTAGGGAGAGGAAAGAGGGAAATCTCCAGTGCCCTAGGTTCATAACACACTGCATTCAAAATCAGCTAGATGGTTGGCAGACTTGCGTATTGCATAGTTAAGTAGTTGTTGAATGAAAACCTGACTTGAAACACCTACTAGAAGAAATCAATGTTTCTCAGTGAGACAGTCCCACTCACTGACTCGTTAGCTATCCTAGTAGCTGGCTCAGTCACACAAAGTGGAACAGTTTCATCAGGAAGTGCTCGTAAGCCTGTGTGGATGTGAGGATACCTCAGTGCTCTTGTGACTTCCTCCTCTGTTACTTTTACAGATGAAAACCTGAACATACTGTCTTTATCACAGCTGGGCCTTAAGATAGTTTTAATGAAAGGAATAATTTTTAATGTGCTGATGACGATGCTTATGTGGAAAAAAAAAGTGAGTATACATGAGAGGTGGTAAAGTCTCTGACAGAAAACGTCTGGATCAGTTCATTAGCTACAAATCTTCCTTCTCTCTGTAAGAACTGTTTATGCAGCCTATCCATACACCTTTTGTCTACCAACAGTACAACCCCTCCACTTCTTTGGCCATAATAATTGTTTTTGGCCACATGTCAAGCCTATTTACTCTTCCTTATTCACATGCAAATTTAACTTAATTTATCCATTCTTTGTTTACATCCTACCGTTCTCTGTCCTCATCCATCAGATTCATCCCCTGACCAATCTCCAGCTGGGAAATTTTTATGCATATTGGCTTTAAGACCTCAGAACTAATATATTAGTTTTGGCCCAGCGTCTCATTCTTCTCTTTCTATTGCCTAGGCACTTCTGTTCTACAATTGTGTAGCTGCACCTGTGTACCAAATAATGGCCTAACATAACTTTATTTTTATTACAGGAATGAAAGTAACGAGATGATGACATTCTGAAGTATGAAAAAATCTGCTGAGGAATCTACCAGAGCATCATGTGTAAGAGAGCCCAGACATTTCTGTTATGAGGGATATCACTTGCTGTTTCTGCATATCATGCCAGCCATTATAGTATAAATCACTTTATTTGTATTGTTAGGAGGCTACTAAAAAATGCTCAGCATTCTGCTCCCCCACATGCCTGATTCACTCCTTTTGCATCCAGCCAAGTTTGCTATAACTATAAATAACTATAAATTGCCAAACATCACTATTAATTGCATTAAATTGACACACAATTTCTGCTTGGGGCAGTGTTGTTCTAAACAGCCAGCTAAATAGCTAAGTATCACTTGAATGTGAATTTTTCATATTTGGATAGCTTTCATATATGCACTACTTAGAGTACACCCTGCAGACACCATTTCAGTTGCAAATGAAACACTCTGAAAAGCAAACAGAGTCTTATGTAAGGTGTTATGGCCAATGTCCTCCTATCTTTGGTAAATCAGAGCAAGGTATCATTTTTCCCCTAAAAGATTTGCTGCTAGGTCTCCCAGAAGTCCCAAATTCAGTGAAATTCCCACTTCATTATCATAAAAGAAAAATTTTTTTTTTACTATTTTAAAAGTCTCTCTGTCCTTGCCCATTTTCTGAATTTAAACCAGCTTAAGATTTGGTTTTGTGTTTAGTAAAAAAGCAACCTTTGCTCTTTTTGTTCAGTTTGAACAGCCTTAGATTTTCCAATTTCTATTATAATCATTGCATAAAACTGAAGTACATGTCCACTTCTTGGAAACAGTGCATGTATGTGAAATTTGTATGCTGCTAATTCTTTAATTGTATCAGCAATCACCCTGATATCTTGGCATTTCTTTAGGCCTGCTATTAAACAATTCTTATAAAAAATAAGAAACTTGTTTGTCTTTTGTATCTGTAGTTTGAGGAACTCGTTTTACCCTTCACATGAGCTTTAGGAATGAGCCTGGCCTTTGGGGCGAGGGAGTGAAGGGATGCCTGGACTCTTCTCTCAGCCTGATACAGCCACCAGTTTGCAACAACTGGCCAGATTCTCTCATGGGGAAAATAGACACCAAGTCCATTTCCAGGACATCAACATGCTGTGTGTGGGTGAGGACAGCATGACTGCCTTGGAGGCAGGGAAATGGAGGAGAGCGCATCTCCTCCAGGAGAAGACTTTGCTATGTGAAGACAATGGTGAAACACAACTTGCCCACAGTGAGTGGACTAGAAGCAGTCAAGGTTCTTGAAGGTAGATGTCTGCTGCTATGGGGAACATAGACATCTGAAATGTCCTGCCTCTCAATGTCCCCCACTCCCAAGTGTCAGTGGACAGCAAGGTGCCAGCTTTGCATTAATAACAACAGGCCTGTCTCCAGGCTCAGCGGTTGCTGGCAAGACTGGAAAAGAAATTTTCTCCTTTTGTGATATGGGTTTCTCCATCTGTCTCTGATGCACCAGAGATTCCTCTGGAGGGAGAAACAAGAAGGACACCCTGAGGGAAACATACACCCCTGCAAACCTTGCAAACCCTGCTTGCACCTTGCAGCAGTGCCCAGACAAAGTGGCTGGGAAAGCCTCAGCAGACTGGTGGGTGTGATTCCTTCCCATGGCATAATTCTCACCCTGCTGGATTCACAGTCATTGCAAGAAACACTGTTTTTTTTAAAGGCTCATGCTTCACATGTTTTTAGCCAAAAGCCTTGGTGCTTTGTGTGGGACAGGATGCCTGTGCAGAGACAATGCCCACATCCCTGCCGCCAGATTGGAATCCACAGTGCTGTCAACAGTCTCCTGATCTCCTGCCATGTGCTGCCCCCTGACCATTTAGCAAGTGGTCTATCACAGGTGACAGCTACTGACCCCTCCTACCAAAGGGCAACTTTGAACTTTTTTTATCTATTACCCTGATTATTTTATAGAACAGATGTTCAAGGACTCATTCTCTTGTCTCTCTCCTGTCACAACAGTCACCAATTTCTCCCCAGCTGCAAAAAGCCCACAGCTCTTTAGATGCTAGGTTCCAGGCAGCTCTGGAAGGTTACACTACATTCATGATGAGGTTTGGCATGTCACAGGGAAACAGCTTGATGAAGTTCCCTAAACCATGTTTTAATTACAAGGCGAGTTGTCACATTTCACAGATTTCCAACTGATTAACCTCATTCCAGAAATGTTCAGGGCTGCGGGAGGAAAAGTTTCCATGCTCATTTACCTTTAGCATCACTTTTAAAAATGAATATCTATCTTGAATCTGTTGTGCTGCACTTCAAACTCTGCTCTCCCTGTAAGGAAGAAGGACAGTGTGCTGCCTGTTTCCAAATCTGTCTTTCTCTTCCACATTAAACAACCCCAGTGGTCAGATTTGCCCAGTGAGGGGATGAGTGTACAGCTAAAGTTAAATATTTCTACTAAGGTGACTCTTAGCATGTGAACTGCAAAACACTGAATTTCTAGATCTGGTTCAAAAAATACTTTCAGCTACCACCACCACAATGTGCTCCCTCCAACACCTCCCCTCAGCACTTTGCACTTTGTTGTTTATTTCGAGAAAGAAAAACCACAGTGCAAAGCAAAGGCAGGAAATAACACAGTAAGACAGGATGTGGAAAGGGTCTTATGGGCCAGGTGGGGTAGGAAGAGGACACACCACCAGTTCCATGACGCCACAATCAAGATCTGGGTCACCTTTTGATGCTTCTCTATGCCCTACCACAGAAACCGCTTCCTCTGGAAAATGGAGAGCAAAACAGAGGGTGTGGGAGCAGGGCTGATGAGGCATGTGGCAGAGAGGCAGAGAAACACGTGGAAAAGAACATCAGACGTTAGACCACAAGCCAGTTGAATGAGGTTAAAGCACCTTTCCTTCCCACCCCCTCACCACAGCCCACTTTTGGGTATGGGGGCATTGTTTTGGGTACAGCAAGAAAGATTGAGCTATGTATAGTACAGGCAGGGGAACGGAGAGGATAAAATACATTATAAAAGGTGGCGGTGGCAGGGAAAGATCTTAGAAGTGTGTAAGACTTTTGAATTGACTGACCTCTGCATCCTATTATACAGGCAGTGAACCTGAGCACAAACATTCTTTCATTTCTCCTGACCCAAAAGGCAGGAAGGGAGAAAGATGGGGCAGGGCAGAGAGTCCTCCCACACTGGCCGGGAAGGAGATGTTGCCATGGTCCACCTCCATCAGATCCCAGACTCTAATACCTAACTATGGATAGGAAGTTAATTTGAATTTGCATCTTCTCTAGAGGTTTTGTTGGAGAAAACACTGTCTGGCATTTGACATCCCTCAGAAAACATGGCCCTTTACATGAAACAACCTCTCCTCTTGTTCTCTTCTACAGTGTGAGCAGGGACCAGTGCATGGTCTTTATAAGCAGAGCTTGACGATATCTACAGACTTGTGGAAACTTGTTCAGACGTGGGAGTAGAATTTAATTCTAGTGCCAAGTTTACGGCAATTAAGAGGCATTGCAAACTGGTAAAAATCAGGGCAAAAAAGAAACTCCCTAGAAGCCTCACGGTGTTTTGTTTGCCACAGGCTCCGTCCAGTGCAGTCACAGGAGGGTCCCAGCCCAGAGTGCTCTCTGATGCTGAATCGTGAGGAGGCCGAGTCTCACACACTCACAGGGAGGCACTCAAAGCTCGCAAACAGCAGGAGCAGCAGTGGCAAAGCAATTACCCTGAGCTGCTTCTCCTGTGAACATGCCGGCTCTAGTTGTCCCGGGCATAGCTCCCTTCTTTAACGGGAGTGAAGAGCTCAGTATCTCATTCACAATCACTGGCACCGAGTCCCCTCCTGCTCCACATCAGTACAAAGCTGGTACCACTGTAAAAAAAACAGCTTAATGCCTGGGGCTGGAGGGTGTGTCAGAGCTGGCATGAATTATTTGTTCTACCACCACAGAGACAGAGAAGGTCCTTTAAGAGAATAAAGACCCTGCTGTATCCTACCTCTCTGCTCAGAGCCTAGGAGCCCCAGGTTTCAAGCTTCTACGGTTTTATCACTGCAGCATAGTTGAAAATGATGGCTAACAGAAGCCATAATCCTCACTGAGAGACTGAAGCAATCAGCCCCTTTATTTTATCTCCTGAGTACTTGTCGCAGAGGCTCAATACACATTTAACATACCAAGGGCTTCAGCTGCAGAGCAAATTAGACAAGTGTGAAGCAGGCTTAGTTCAAGGATGGAGCCTCATGCATGATAACCCAGATAAATTCTGCAGAGGTGTGGAGGGGCTAGCTGGCCCGTTCTGTGCCTGTAACTTCATCACCACATTATTTTCTTCCAACAGGAAAAGAAGCATCTGACCTCAAGCAGGATCTAAGCTGGGCATGAGGAGGCAATGGCCAAGGGTCAAAGCAGTTCAGTTTAAGCATTTTGCAATGTGTTAGAGGGGAAAGGGAAAGGGATTTCAATGCAGCTGTCAGAGGGGTCACCTTCTCCATGGACCCAAGACAGATCAAGTGCAGCTCTGTCTGAGGCACTGACACTGCTTGGTAGCCCCTTCCAACATTGTTGGGTCTATCAGAACACCAGATTGAAGTGGTTCTTCAGAACAGTGGTACCACAGAACACTGTGATGGTGCAGTTGTATGACCAGCAGGCCTCAGCAAGCCTGCAAGTCCAGCTGGGACTCCCAGCAGTGCCCCACATGGTTTTGAGGGATATGGGAGGCTAGGTGGGAAGACAGGTACACCTGGGATGTGCTGGAGGACACCCTCCATTTCCTTCCATTCATGACTGCTAATCACAGCCTAATGCTGATTTTCCACTGCTTTGAAGCCTGGGAACACACTTATTTCTGTAAGATAAAGGGGCAGAAACTGGGAGATGAAAAGGGTGGAAGACATTTGTGTTTCCAAGACAACTTGTTTCCTGCTGCCCTTGAAAACTGGGGCACAGAAAAAAAGCCTGTTGGGTAGAAGGGGAAAGAGGGGTGAACGAGAGAGAACTTGGGTGTCAGAAGAATGTCAGTATTTGTCACAAACAGGGAAAAGACTGTTAGAAATGGTTTTATTGACAGAAGCATTACAGTGACTGTAATGAAGCAGCAGACCCCTCCATTTTCTGCAGTGAAAAACCTTGAGCCCTACTTCCTCTCCCTCCACCAGGCAAGTAGGCAATAGTCCGCTGGCAAACAGCACTTCCCAATGCCAGGCTTTGGCATCAGAGCTCAAGAGCAACCCAAGACCTGGAAAGAGAGAAAGGCAACATGAGTGATGTTTCTGCAGAGGGAGAAGAAACACCCCACAAGCTCCAATGATCTTGTGGCCCCTTATAACTGTAGCAACATGGCATGTCCTCCACTTTCCAGCACCAAACTCTCCCTGTTCCAAACTCCCTCCCCTCATCTGCTGAGAAATTCCAGACTTGGAAACCAGCTGTACCATGGCCTTGAAATAAAGCCCAGGAGTTCCAGCTTCCAAAGTCCTTCAAAAAGAGGGAAATCTGGGCAGGTTTTAGTAACACTTCTAGTTAAACTACCTTTTAAATTACAAAACTAAAAAAAAACTACAGGCACAAAACCAGAGAACTGTAAATGCTAACCCTGTATCCACCTAGAAGACAACAGCTTAACTGTACTTGGCCAAGAGGGAGCTGGGAACTAGGACTCCTTGATTCACTAACTGTCCCAACTCCACAAAACTATGAAATCACATGAGCTGTGGTTACTCTTTTTGTGATGCCAACAATCAGTACCTCACTGTCTCTTCTCGACCTCAGCCAACAAAATTGATGACAACAAGATGGAGGATGGTGTTGGCAAAGAGGAAATCAGCAAATGCTCGCTCCGGTGAAATGCCCTGGAACTCGCCTTTGTTCTGGGGGTTGATTTGGATCCGGAGGCAAACTGCATGACAGAGAAAGAATGAAAGATTAGGGATCACAAAGTGAAGTCACGGCAGGAAGCAGTCTTTCTGGGGCAGCCCACCCCAGGTCACTCTTCCACCAGAGTGCCACAAGAAAAGGTTAACTCTGTATCATAAGCTGAGCAGGACACTGGCTGGGAATTAGCACAGGGCTTCCATGCAGCCAGGTCTGACAGAGTCACACACAACCAGAGCAGGCCAAGTAAGTCTTGAGGGGAACAGACTTATAACAGAATTGGACTTGCATAGAAATTAGGGTTATTTCTGTCTTCTGTATTGGGTGTGTTGGGGAATGCTGCAGATTATCTGAAAGATCTTTTCCAACCTAAATGATTCTAAGGTGGCTTTGGGGGATATTATGGGAGAGCAAAACCCTGAAGCAGTCATTGCTAGAGTCTGGGTTTCACCACAGGATGGTTGCTAAAGCACATCAATACAAGAGGGCTCCTCAACTGCTAGGAAGAAGCAAGGACACTGTGGGGCTGATCATTGAATCATTTTGGTTAGAAAAAAACCTTTAAGATCAAAGTTAACTCAGCACTGCTAAGTCCACCACTAAACCACATCCATTAGCAACACATCTGCTCATCTTCTAAATAACTACACAGGTGATGATTTTACCACTTCCCTTGGCAGCCTGTTCCAGAACCTGAGCTCTGTGATGAACACAGGCAGGAACTTGGGGGTTCGTGGAGGAGAACTGGGTGTTACGGGGAACGGAATGAGGGGGGTGTTGGAGGTTCTAATGGGGACTCCCTGGCTGAGAGGTAGGCTTGAGGGCTGCTGTGGGCGACTCCCTGGAGTTTTTGGGTAACGCCTCTGGCTGCTAAGGGAAGCCGGCGGTTACCACAACAGATCTGGGTATTTCTAGGCTATCTCCCCAGTGGCCGGAGGCCTCTGGGAGCTGCTGTGGGAGACTCGGGCTTTGCTACGGAGAGTGCCCAGTGGGAAGGGGGATTCCAGGGTGACGTGCGCGGGCGCGAGGGGCACTGACCGCCGAGGATGAAGCTGCCAACGGCGGAGATGAAGCC